TGTGGAGCCTCCGTCACACTAGGCACGAGTTGGGCAGCATCCTTCTGGAGAGGATTAGGTGTCCTGAGCACCTTCCCAGCCCTGGGATCCCTTCACCGAGCAAAGAGTGAATGAGTTTGGTGGGTTCTCACCTGCAGACATCCTTTGGTGTCTGCAGTACATGGGCTGATGAGCAGGGAAGGTTTCTCTCCTGCTCAGACAAGAGCTTCCCAATGGGGAAGTCTCTGGTGGTCTTGCCGGTGGGAATTACTCTTTTTTCACAGTTACACGCCAATCAATGTGCCTGCAGGAGTCTCACTGACCTCCTGACGCCCAGCCATTGGCAGTGGCCTGTGCAAAGCGCACAGACGGTTTCAAATCTACAAGACTGTCCCCTGCAAATGTGCGTTCTTTGCGTTGGCTTTCACAGATTGGCCCACAAGCCACCGACAACCTGCAATTTTGACAATCCGGGTTTGTAACGCCCTGGTCCAGTGCCTTGTGTAGCGGGGTGCAGCGAGCCCAGGCGCCCCGTGGCCTTTGCATGCGTGATGCCACGGCAGGGAGCAGCCAGGACCCTCCGTAGCACGAAGGTGGGAAGGCAAAGCTGAGCCTGTTCCTCCCTCCCGCTGAGCGACATTGACACGGGCTATCGGCAGGGACTCAGATGGCGGTGACCATGCCTGAGGTTGCCTTTTCCCCATTCCCTGTGCCAGGGGTGTACCGGCACGTCGTGGCCAACATCCCACTGGCAGCATCCTTGGTGCAGAAGAAAGCTCTGATGGTTTAACCAGTATAACCCACCAATTTGCCTTTTCAGACCTGAGCTTTCAACTGGGCTTGTGGCCATTGGGTAGCCCCCCCTTTTCCCCCTCTGCAGCACCAGCACCTTTCATGTGCCCCCAATTCCTTTCCACACATTTGGCAGCAGCACTGGGAAACAGCATCCCCCCCCCAGCTTCCCCTGCTTCCGCATCCCCGTCTCCCAGTTCATCCTGTCCTGCTCGCAGGACCTGTCTGGAGGGTGCCCACAAAAGCACTGGTGGTCCTGTTTGCCCCCCACGGCCAGGGCAGGAGTGCCGAGACCGTGGTGACCCGGCTGCGTGGAGGCACGAGGAGTTCCCTCGGGATGACTCTCCGCCCTGGGCTGAGCTCAGCACCCCTTTCTGACTGGGAAAGCGGGCTGGGGAGGGGGCTAACCCCAGTCAGGCAGGAAGGCAGGCTTGGCGGTTGCGTCCCCACGCCACCGGGACCTTCAGCATCACTCCAGCTGTTTCCATATCTGGGATTCCCTTCCTATCCGCTCCCTCCATCACCGGCTGTGCCGAGCGTGCCTGGTGCTCCTCTGCCCTGCTCCCCAGGAGCCAGGGCAGGCTCGCGCCGCTACACCATCCCCACGCTGCTGCTTTGTGCAAGGATGTGTTTGATTTTGGTTGTTTTCTGGTGCCGGTAAACAGCTCGCTCTTCTCTCCTCTTCCTGCAGGCAGTGGATCCCACGCTACTCTGTTTCAGAGTGGCAGGGGTTGGAAGGGACCTCTGGAGATCATCCAGTCCAACTTCCTCCTACCAGAGCAGGGTCATCCAGAGCAGGTTGCACAGGACGGCATCCAGGAGGGTTTTGAGTATCTCCAAAGCCCCCCCCGCCTCTCTGGGCAGCCTGTGCCAGTGCGCTGCCACCCTCGGAGTAAAGAAGTTTTTCCTCATGTTGATTTGGAATTTCCGATGTTCCAGTTTGTGCCCGTTGCCCCTTGTCCTGTCACTGGGCACCACTGAGAAGAGTCTGCCCCCATCGTCCTGCCACCCACCCTTTAGATATTGAAAGAGTTGGGGCTGTTCAGCCTGGAGAAGAGAAGGCTCTGGGAAGACGAGAAGGCTCTGGGAAGACCTTATTGCGGCCTTCCAGTACCTAAAGGGGCTCCAGGAGAGCTGGGGAGGGACATTTTACTGGGGCATGTAGTGATAGGATGAGGGGGAATGGCTTCAAACTGGAAGAGGGCAGGTTTAGATTAAACATTAGGAAGAAATTTTTCACTATGAGGGTGGTGAGGCACTGGAACAGGTTGCCCCGAGAGGTTGTTGAGGCCCCATCCCTGGAGGTGTTCAAGGCCAGTCTGGACGTGGCCTTGGGCAACCTGGTCTACTGGGAGGTGTCCCTGCCCATGGCAGGGGGGTTGGAACTCCATGATCTTCAAGGTCCTTTCCAACCCAAAACATTCTATGATTCTATGATTATCAGCTCTAACCCGTGCCAGGGCAGGGGTTGGGCCGTAGCTGGGGAGATGAGCAGGTACCTCGGAAGATGCTGCTGGCTGTAGCCAGAGGCTGGAGAAGCTGCTGTGGATGCTGCGGGGAGGAGGCAGAGGGAGGATTTAGGGTGCTCAGGGGGGTGGCATGGTCTGGGCAGGCTGGGGGACTGCACGCATGGCCCATGGGTGTCAGCCACCCATCCTGCCTCTCCCTCTGCTCCCAGCGAGGCTGTTGCCCGTGCCAGTGCCCTGCGAGCACGTCTTGATGCTTTCCATTACACCATTTGCAGTTCCTTTTCCAGACTTCAGGCTGGAAACGACCCGCCAGGTGTTTGCCTCCTGTTGAACTGTGTTTTGGAAAATATCAGAGAAAAAAAACCCCAAACTAACACAGCACTATAGTATTTCCAAACACAAAAACTAAGGAAAAATATGTTGTTTTGTTGACAGTTCAAAAAAATCCCTGCAGCTGTTTCGGCGGGGCAGTGGGGAGTCACACGATACGAGGCGCTCGTCACCATCCTGCCGGAACGCGGCCGGGCTCTGCGCCTTGGACGAAGCCCCCGCTGCTCACGTGTCCGCTCGGGCCGCTGGCGGCACTCGAGCA